CTGTATTTGTGGATCTGTACTTAAAAACTATTCTGCAGTTCAAAAATAAATTTCAGTGTCATTACTCCATCTTTGCATAAATGCAAAGCTGAATTACTCCATTCAAAGAACAGGAGTACTTGTGACACCTTAGAGACTAACAAATTTATTAGAGCATAAGCTTTCGTGGGCTACAGCCTACTTCTTCGGATGCATATAGAATGGAACATATATTGAGGAGATATATACACACACACACACACACAGAGCATGAACAGGTGGGAGTTGTCTTACCAACTCTGAGAGGCCAATTAAGTAAGAGAAAAAAAACCTTTTGAAGTGATAATCAAGATAGCCCAGTACAGACAGTTTGATAAGAAGTGTGAGAATACTTACAAGGGGAGATAGACTCCATTCAGTTTATTTAGACCCATGCAACAATGCCACCTACTGGATGGTAGCTTGTGGTGCATACACAATAATACATTTCAAAAATCAAGTGGAATCATTAGAAAAAAGTCTTGTGCAAAGAAAAAAGGAAAACAAAAAAGGGTTCAAAATAACTGTCTGACTTAATGCTGGTGTTGCTTTTAGGGGGAAATCTACCTGAATTTCCCATTGTATTTCTTCTCCCTGCATCCACTCAAATGGTCGGCCTTATGGGACTTTCCTTGAGGGCAATGATGCCTGGACAGAAGTCTATTACTGAAACTGTGAGTACTGGCAAACAGGCAGGGAGAAAATGAAAGCATTCATCCATAGCTGTTTAAAATTTCAGATTTTTTTGTCTGACAAGTTAGCTTGTTGTCCCAATTTTGAGGCTGTGGCCTCATTCTCTCAAGTAACTTAAAATGAAATTATTATTGGTGGTGGGATATTTGCCTGCTTCGTTTTGGACTGTTGTGCTGGTATTTCTCATCTTTATTCTCTTGTTTTTAATGAGTCTGACTCTCACTTCATTTTATATGGTTAGTATTGTCCTTGCTTCAGGGCCAGATTAACTCTCCTGTGGGCCCGGAGCTATTAGATTTTGTGGGGCCCCTGTATAACTCAAGTCTTTTTCCTAATTTAAAACAAAATTATCACAACTATGGCATCGAGGATATTAACGCTATACTAAACTTGCCTTTTAATTAACATAAAGCTGTTCTGTGGTTAAATTTCAGTCTTCAAACATGTAGAATATAGTTAAGTTAATTCAAAACAGCCTACTTCTTACCTTAGAACAGCAGTTATATTCGTTTCTTTCTGGGAGGGAGTTTGGGTGGAGGAGGGGGCTCCAGACTGGGGCAGAGTGTTGGGGTGCAGGAGAGGGTGAAGGGTGCGGGCTCTGGGAGGGAGTTTGGTGCAGGCAAGGACTGTGATCTGGGGCAGGGGATTGGGGTGCAGGAAGGGGTGTGAGGTGCAGGCTTCGGCCGGGAGGCGCTTACTACAGGCGGCTCTCGGCCAGCAGCGCAGCAGGGCTCAGGCAGGCTGCCTGCCTGCCACAGCTCCATGCTGCTCCCAGAAGCGGCCAGCACGTCTCTGAGCACCCTGGGGGGAGGGGAACAGTGTGTCTCTGTGCGCTGCCCACGGCTGCAAGCAATGTCCCTGCAGCTCCCATTGGCTGGTTCCTGCCTGCTGCCTCCATCCCCAGATGCCTCAGAGATGTGCCAGCAGCCAGCCACTTCTGGGAGTGGCATGGGGCCACGGTATGCAGGCAGCCTGCCTGAGCCCTGCTGCGCCGCTGGACTTTTAGCGGCCCGGAGATCACGATCGACTGGCAGAGGCTCCAGGATCGCGATCGACGGGTTGGTGACCACTGAATTGTATATAATTATGGATTTATTTTTGCGAGGCTGCAGCCCCTAAAGCCCTAGCGTTAATCCAGCCATGCCTTGCTTTGATCTGAGTTAAAATGCCACTGCCACTAGTGGTCTGAGACTATGTAGTCACTTATTTCACACCGAAATAAACATTTTCATCTCTAAATGTTGTTATGGATAGTCTCTATCAGGGCTGAAATCTAGATTTCAGCATTACTCTAGTCCTCCTCCACCAAAGCTGCCTGCTGTTGTTCTGAGTGCTCAGTCAGTGTGACTGTGTCCACCAATGTGTGTGTTCCTAGTTCTCCCTCCTCAACAGCCTGATGGGCTGAAGAGCATCTACCACTAGGCCACTAACTCATATCTGCTTCAAGCCCAGGAGCGTTCCTTACTGAATAGATATGCTTTGGCTCATTTTGATTACGTTTGCTGTGAAAAACCCACATTCTACTTCTGTAGAGCAAGCAGATAATGTCAGAAGAGCAAAGCAAAGTATCCAAAAAGATAGGTGAGCGAGTGGCTAAAAGCTGTGTTAAAGTGTATATGCAACACTAGCTGTGGATTTTTTGGTATTTAAATGTAATTGTAGGGGTTAATCATGCCTTTCCCTATTAATTCAATGCCTATGTAAAGTGACATAGCAGGTTGCCATAATGGGCCAATTGTTTTCTTTAATCACTAGGTCACTAAAGGAAGGAAAAGCACTAAAACAACGTGAATGGTGTTGTGCTGTAGCCTGGTGAATCTGGCATCCCATCCATCTGCTCAATGGAAGCTTCAGCATGTAGATCTGATTTTTCTCATCTTCTGTCCCTAATGATCTAGAAATGTTCATCTCTTCAGATTTGCCATCCCTAAGGATACGTTTTCTGATATATGGGCCACGATGGTCTTTCATTACTGCAAGTCTCTTTCTAGCTGTTATAAATAATGATTAAGTCCTTCACGAAATACAAGGAGCCACAAATTTTCTGGTCGCCATCTGCACTTAACTCAGATTACATCAGCCCTAGCTCAGTTTCTGCAATATGTTCTTTTTGCGTGATGTTGTGTGATAGGGTGTACTGACTCTCCGGACTATATGGAAGGAAATCTATTTGGCCAACAGTCCCCTGTGTCAAGCTGATGTTTGGAAGAAAACTTTACCACCTTACCCGCTAATCAAGGGGAGTTTATCCAGGAATCACAGAGGCTAAACAAGATGGTGAATTTGATTGGGGGGCTTGGTTAACCCTATATATTGGCTAACTATAGGCTTGCTCACCTTGCTTAGGTGTGCCCTGTGGGCTCAGAAACTAGCAAGACAGTTAACAAGTAAAGATTCCTCCCCAGAGAGCTGGGGAAGATAATTTGCCATTACATATGGCTATTTGTTTTGTTCATTAGAATTGCTGCTGTGTAAGTACAGAGTATATGATTATTATTAGAACACCTGGATGTTCACAGAATATGAACGATGCTATGTACAAAACAGAAGCTAGAGAATGAAAAAGCAATGGGTATTAAAATAGAGAATACTAATATTGAAGGGTCTTCAGTTTATATTTTGTAAATAACAAAATATCTTTACAGTAAGTACTTGCCTCAACAGAAACATGGAACAGACTTGCACTTTTGCACCATTTCTTTATAAGTATCAATATAAGTACAGTGATTTTCTTTATTCAAATGTTATTCACTTACCCATTATCCAAACCATTCTGCCCAAGTTTCTTTCCTATGTCACCTACCATCACCCCTGGCATAGGAAGCAGTGTTTTTGTATCTCGAATCTATGTGGAAATTAAATGAAATAATATTTTAGTCATGAGAAAACTAAAGCTCTTGGTGGACTCCTTTCAAACAGTGAAAAGTACTCCCAAACTATTTTGTTATTAGCATTTAAAAAAACCAAACTCACTATTTTTCCAAATACAGGTAAATAGAATCCAATCTTGGATATAGTTTCTGCTTAATGCACTCTTCCGTCCATGATACTATAAATTCAATAATGAAAGTGACTTGGAAATCTTTCACTTTCTTTGATAATATGCTACTAATTACACTATCATGCTCCAAATGTGCATCTATATAGAAGAATCTTCTAATCACAATTAGCATGAAAACCTTCTTTTGGTCTATGTGGACAGAAACAGAAATCAAGAAAACTGATTAACTTTATGTATTAATTGTATCCTGCCTTTCTCAGGGATATATGACATGTTTCATCTGGTCAGTAACCCAGTTCATTTAAATATGTGTAGCTTCTGCAAGTTTTTAACTGAATATGGCTCCAATCCTGCAAGCTGATCTCTATGGTTGAAACCCTGCTTCCATGCAGATTGGCTTGTGGGTTTAGGACAAATACTGGTACCCGAAAGAGAGGGCTTGAAACGTTGGCTCACCCATTTCAAGGAGGAAGCTTTCCCAGGAGACCGTGATCAATTTTTGCAGAGTCCATGCTTTCATTTAAAAATAAAATTTGGTAGCCCTTAAGACTAC